CTCGGAGAAAAAATATCAAAAAATATACCAGCTAATGTTTTTTTGTGTGACAAAATATGTTAACATAAAGGGTCAAGGAATAATTTGAATATCAGTAACCATAGCTAAATGTATTGGCGACATAGCGTTTTTTCATTTGTATGAATTATACGGGAATGACTGTCTAGAACTATAGAACTTATCTGTTTAAAGCGGTAAAAGCTAAAATGCATCTAGGGGGAAAAAGGATCGTCGAGTTTAACAGTCGATGAACTAAAATTCAAAAAATTAAAAATAAATTTTATTAATTTTGGGGCCTTCTTATGCAAAAATATGCTGGAAATCATTTGGTACCTTTTAATGCTTGTACACATTCACCGTTTATACAGATGGCATCCTCGGTACAGGTAGTATTTAGACAATTGCCAACCAAGTGCTAAAAGAAACAAAATCATTGATAAAGTTCGTTTGAGATTTAATAAAATATGTTTTTATTTAAAAGATTTAAAAGAAATACCTTCGGAAAATGTTCTCTGATAACGTGAATTGAGCGGCCCTTGGTCATGAAATTACTGATCTTTCGTGAAGCAAATCTTTTGTTTAGCCGACATGTCTTTTCTTCTTGTATCCAATCCACATTATCGACATAATGTAAACTTGTTACCAATCATCATACACATGCCGATGTCAGTATTTGTCAAGACAGGAAAATCAGGGACTGAGGAATTCTCGACATTGCTAATGATCAAAGTTTTGGAGTCGAAGCACTGTGTGTATCCCGCATCGTGAGTATCGCCTAGAACACGTAGAAACTGACCAATAAAATAGAGACTGATCATCGCCTTTGGATATGTTGCTGAATATTTCAACAGTTTTCGTCCTTGTTGGTCCTTGGCTTGTGGTTGAGAAGTGTTTATGAATTCTAACTTAATCAGACAAAACTTTAGAGCTTTCTTAAAGATGTCGATTATGATCGATCAGGGTCTCAGATGATGTTTCCTTTGCTTTCCTTGAGGATATATGTATAATCAAAAATATTTTTTTTAGGCATTATAGCTTAAGTTCTGAAGATTATAAATCCATTTCCTTTACACTGATATTTACAGCAAATTATGTATTAAAGCCCATGTCATGACTCTTAAAGAAAATATCTACAGTAGAATGTCAATGTATGGGAAAATTCTAATAAATTATTTCTTATAAATTAGTTTAATTTCGTTTGTTCTTCGATAAAGTGTGGAGAATAAAGGATTGAAAGTCAAAAAATATTTTTGTAAGACCAACCCTTCATTTTCCAAAAACAAATAACTCACGAGAAACAAAAAAAAATTCTGAAATGCGACAATTTTAGATTAATCACTGTAGTGTATTCTCAATTTAATTGCACTAAAACATTTTGAAGATGACTCAGAAAAGATGCTTCCCCGATATTGATAACATTTAGAAATAATAAAAGGTATTAAATGTTCGTAGAAATTTATTGACAAGAAACATTTATTAATTGATCATGAATTTTATGTGTCCCTGGAGATAAATCAGATCTAAATGGATATATCATCGATTATTCTCAGTGAACTGGAAGTAAAAGACAAAACGGTGTCCACTGTTTTTTTTAATACAGCTAGGGGAGAATTTTCACATGATCTTCAATTATCAATTGCATATAGTGCCTCACAAGTGATTCAGTTACCAATAAATTTGTTCTAGTTGAGATAAATTTTAAAATCGAACGAGCTTGTGAGATTTTTCTCTGTAACGCTATTTTTATTTATTTTTAAATTATCAATTTTGACATTAAATGGTACAGACTGTAGTTATAGAGAATTATAGTAAAATTAGAAATTAGAAAGGAAATTAGAAAGATTGATTTACATTTCATATGATTTGTTAAGATATATGCAATAAAGACATTTTTAATTTTAATATTCACGTCAAGTGCATACGTCAAATACAGTTTTCATACTTAACACATTTCTAATAATTGATTGATTGAATGGGGTTTAATGCCGAGTCGGCAATATTTCAGCTATATTTCGACGGTAGATTAAGTTATTTAATCAGTTTTGATTTTGGTTTTTCTGTTGGCCCCATGTGAGCCTACGTTTTTTCGAAAGCCAGAGAAACGACTTTTTTTCGTGTCAATGGGGTTTAAGAAATCATAAGTTTAAAAGTCATGTATATAAAATACAATACATAATACCTATTCAAGAGCCTAAGCGGGTCATAGATAGGTTTTGAAGACACATTACAATTCCTTTTTTGTACTTGTTCTCTGATCTATAAAAATTGTCACCATCTTTTTGTTTTTGAAACGCCCGTAAGCAACAAATTTTGTCTAAATGTATGACAAAATATCATAGATATTCAAAGATTTTCTGATAAGATAATGCGACACCTTGAAAATGACTCAGTCCATAACATATCATACTTTCATGTAAAATAGTTGAATCTGATTGGTCGAGAAACATTTATTAAAAAACACTATTACCAGCTGAATAATGAAGCCACGCCCTCCAGCGTAGCAACAGTCAACAGTGCTTGACGACGGGTGATATTCCAAAAATAGCGACTGCGCAGAATTTATGCGCGCACGGTTCACTGTTATATGTATTTGTATAAAACATTCAGCATAATATAATGAATATTGCATGAAGTTGAGTGTAACATTGACAATTTTCACCCCTTGAAAACCATTGTCAACCTCGGCTTCGCCTCGGTTGATAATGGTTTTCTTAGGGTGAAAATTTTAAATGGTACACTCAACTGCATGCAATATTTATATAATAAAAAGCCACTCAGTCCGTCATCATATTATATAAAACTACTCAGTTCGTCATACTCACCGTGTGCTCCTTGTTATGATCGGGTAATGACGGAAAAACCTGGCGTCAATTCAATTAAATAATTGACTAGCAATTAGTATGGAAAACTTCAGTCAGCATTTGACGCAATGATAAATGATAATGATAAATTGTATTTGCTGACAAGGTTGTTGTATCGAACATAGAACTTACGAAATTATGACTTTAAAAGAGACAGCTAAAATTCTTGTTTCATCAATTTGTTTGTCAATTTACCTCGTTTTAGAAATTGTCCATACGTCGTGCATGCTCTTGCGTATAGAATCAATTGAGATATATAAACTCCGTATGCAGATGATGAAGGTATACTGCTGCATAAGTAAGGGAATTGACGAAGTTAGTCATCACGTTTATCATAGAACTTGATTGTTAAATAACCATTAACGTCTTTTCAAAATATACCTTATATATAAATAGTGAAAATTCATTTTAAAAATAGTTTCACAATTTTTAAAACATGGTTTGGGAAATTAACGGAAACCCACTTGGTGTGAATGCCAACTTCGTCTTTACTTATCAACCGTGGGCAAACTAGCTGATATAAAATATAACAGTGAAATTACAGTCATTTTTTTAACGTAGCAATAAAGAACCGTCATTAGATATGAATTTCTTTGCTGTTCTAAAATTAAAATAAACTCATATTCTTTAATCATTTACATGTATATATGTACATACTTTACTAATTAAAATATTGATTGGTTATTTAAAAAATCAGTTATAAAGTAATAATTGCCTGTAATGCATGTAGATTAACAATTAATGATTACAATAATTGAACTGCTGAGCACATTAAACGAATGTGCGTATGATGAATCAATATCATATTCATTGAGAATATATGCATGTGTGTTCGATTTGCTTTTCACTAATATTTTAAGAAAGTCTTGCTTGAATAAATTATACTAATTTGCTTATTTTTTGCATTAATTGTTAAATAAAAAATAGGAATGAAATTTCATCATGCATGATTCATGATTTGTTGGCTTTAAAATGTGATAATTAGCATTATGAAGTTTTCAAATTAACTATGTGAATTAAACAGATAGATGTGTAAATTTTACACTTTAAAATGTAAATTTTACAGATTAAAGGCTAAGTTTTACAGATTAAAGGGTAAAGTTTTTACAGATTAAAGTTGTGTAAAATTATAAAAAGTGAAGTGTAAAGTGTAAATGTTACAGATTAAAGTGTAACTTTTACAGATTAAAGTGTAGAAATTATAAAAAGTAAAGTGTCCAAGTGGCACTAATACGCTTCCATACAAAACAAGGAGATAGAGATTTAACAAAGATTATTTAGTAGAATAGTCTCAGAAAAGAATGTATTTATTAGACATAAAAGAAATGAAAATCTGTTTTAGCAAAATGTTCTTGCTCAAAGGCATACAGTGTATATTTGCAGTTATTTCTCCATATCATAAATATTCTGAGAGTGAAACGGTATATAATCAATCAATCAATCAAACCCATAGAATTCACACTTACTACCTTCAGTATTGCATATCACATTTATACAACTTAGATATTTTAAATGACTTTACAACAATGCTTACTAAGGTGGAAAATATTCACACACAGAATACCAATACTGTTTTCAATCTGTATCCAAAAAGTTAAAACTATGTATTAAAAGACATATTCTACAAAAATTAAAAAGAAACTTGTTGTCAGATTAATATGTTGCAAATTATGTTTCATTTGCACGCAGTCATGTTTAAACATCTATACTATGCATACAGTTTTGTTATAAATGAGAAAAAAGCAAATTATCCACAACACTCCAAAAAATGGAAATAACGAACATAAATAAAATTCAAAAGTCTTTGAAACAATTCAATTGAAAGACAACCTAAAACATCAGGATGGAAGTACAAAGTTACTCTAAAAAAATGCAATGCATAATTTTGTCTAAGAAGTAGTGCTACCATAGCTTGTCATTTATGTAAACCTTAATTAAACACTGTCACTGTGATAGGGAATAGAAGACTTAATTCAAAAAGGAGTGCTGTATCGGTTTCTTGAAAACTTCTTACGAGGGCTGTTCGATAAATGATGTCCTCGGTGCTCAGAAAGAAGCAAAAGACGCTTTTCAATGATTTAGTCCTTAGTATGTTATGATGAATTTTAATCATATTAAAACTGATTTTTTTTCTCTGCCCTAATCGTTGTTTCTAATCATCAACACTGTCTTTCGTAGGGCCTCCTTTTCTTTCCAGTGATGCCATGTCATGTACTGATCACCAGTAACATTACGCTGGGCGTACTCTCCGTTTAGGTTTGAGTCGTAACAATAGGTGTACCACCAGGCGCCGTGATTTACTACTGCACAGTTATTACTCCAGGAGTCGTTGTCCTGGTCTTTCGTGCTGAATCCCATCCCATTATGATAAGTAAAACTGTCACCTGCAACAAAACATTGATAACATAGATGGTATCATTAGTTACAAAGTCTTTTAGTGACAGGGTACGGGATGGTACCTGGTTAGTAAAAAACAAGGTATAGTTTCAATACAAATTAAGACCTGTTTTTTTTTCTTTATAAAATATGAAAGTGATATAAAAAATCAAAATTTATTCATTCTTATTCATAGGAATCCCATGCAAAAAGAATACTCAAGCCGTTTTGCTCATATCACATTCTAAATGCTTACTGTGACGTCATTAACTATTGCATTTTCCCGTATTTTCTTAAAAAGTTGCAGAACACATCATTTTTAGTGATATTTTCTTTCAGAAAACATACTCTGCCACCGTCGCCCACAAAGATTTTGAAATATTTGCTTTTTCAAAGCAGTTTACATAATGTATCCAAAAATTAAAGTGGGCGACGGTGGCAGACACTATTTTCTAAAGGAAAATAAGCACAGAAATTAATCACTCTGAGGTTTTTCTGCATTTAACTTAAAAATGTACCAAATTAATAATATTTCCAGAACGGTCCTCCTTTATGCCATATTATTTAATGATTTATCATATGCATCCACTCAACTCTCGTTAAATCCAATTTCATAACTTTTTCAGAACATTAAATTTTTAGGGCACAATAAAGCTTAAAGTGTACCTTCTTCTTTCATACAAGTACCTGGCGAGGGGAAGCCGACTCAAGTATGAAATGTACTAACGAGGTATCATCCAATAGACTATGTAAGGAATTAAACACTTCGATGAAAAATTTACGTATTGTCTGTGGTTTATTAATGTGTTTCTCTGTTACACGTGACGTTGATGCCACGCATATGACGTCACGTTGTGCTAGTTACGTAACATTTCGACCGGGTATAGTTTTACAACTGACTGCATAGGCATCGGAACCGGGGGCGCCAGAGGGCCTTAGCCCGCCCCCTTTCTTTCAAAGATAGACATAATATAAGCATTGAAGCTTGCATTTACTTTTTTCGTTGATTTAGCCCCCTCCCCACTTTCAATTAGCCCCCCCCCCCTTCAATTTCCTTCCGACGCTCATGCAATGAATTGTTTATTATAACGAAACAAGCAAAAACTTTCAAACTTTCAAATTCTGCACAACTCTCAAATTCACTTTCAATACAGAAACCCTTTGACACATTACTAATCATCGATTTTCTTACGTAAACCATGCTATTGTGACGTCCACTACTCTTGGGAGTTTTCTCTCAACGAACGACAAATGTGTTGGGAAAATGCACTTGGTACCCGAATAGGTGGAATATGATGAAAAGCATGCCAACAACCGTAAAATATGAAGTTTTAAGGCCTGATCACATGATACTCTAGAATCAATCAGATACTGTGTTGTTTAGAATAATTATAATGAGGTATAATAATAATATTAATAATAATAATAATAACTAGATGAGATCTCGTTGCGAGCAACGAGTGGGTCTTCCGTCCAATTCTTGATGAGATGAGATAAGATTTTGATTGCGATTTTCATTCTAAAATAATGATTTACCACAATCTGTAAAAAGACATTGAACATTAAAGTCTTTAAAAAATCGGCCTTTTGTCCCTAACGGCCCCTAATTTTAGGAATCGGCCCTCTTTTTTCATATCATATAAAGATCTTAAGATTTTGAACATTTTGTGTTCAACAATTGTTCAGAAATTCTTTTTCGTTTTTGAGATATTAGAAAAAGAAACTTTTAGGGGACAACCCTTCAACTCCTTAATGGGGACGTTTAGCAAAAAATGAAAGGTTGCATATTGTTTAGAACATTATTTTGAACAACTTCTGTTCAATATTGCTTATCAAAATATTTCTCCCTTTCGAGATATAAAGCATCAAAGATTTAGCATTCTGGCCCCTTGTGGCCCCTAATTATGTACTATACGACAAGGAAATCATAATATATAGTTGTAGATGGTTGAGATGAACATCTTTGCTTCAGTAATGTATTACAAAATATTAACCGATAAAGAGTTATCGATTGAAGACTTTTGGCCCCTCTTGGCCCCTAATTCGAGTGCCCAGCCCCTTTTTCGGGATCTCATCTTAAAGATCTTAAGATTTTGAACATTTTGTGTTCAACAATTGTTTCAGAAATTCTTTTTCGTTTTTGAGATATTAGAAAAAGAAACTTTTAGGGGCCAACCCTTCCAACTCCTTAATGGGGACGTTTAGCAAAAAATGAAAGGTTGCATATTGTTTAGAACATTATTTTGAACAACTTTTGTTCAATATTGTTATCAAAATATTTCTCCCTTTCGAGATATAAAGCATCAAAGATTTAGCATTCTGGCCCCTTGTGGCCCCTAATTATGTACCATACGACATGGAAATCATAATACATAGTTGTAGATGGTTGAGATGAACATCTTTGCTTCAGTAATGTATTACAAAATATTAACCGATAAAGAGTTATCGATTGAAGACTTTTGGCCCCTCTTGACCCCTAATTCGAGTGCCCAGCCCCTTTTTCGGGATCTCATCTTAAAGATCTTAAGATTTTGAACATTTTGTGTTCAACAATTGTTCAGAAATTCTTTTTCTTTTTTGAGATATTAGAAAAAGAAATTTTTAGGGGCCAACCCTTCAACTCCTTAATGGGGACGTTTAGCAAAAAATGAAAGGTTGCATATTGTTTAGAACATTATTTTGAACAACTTTTGTTCAATATTGCTTATCAAAATATTTCTCCCTTTCGAGATATAAAGCATCAAAGATTTAGCATTCTGGCCCCTTGTGGCCCCTAATTATGTACCATACGACATGGAAATCATAATACATAGTTGTAGATGGTTGAGATGAACATCTTTGCTTCAGTAATGTATTACAAAATATTAACCGATAAAGAGTTATCGATTGAAGACTTTTGGCCCCTCTTGGCCCCTAATTCGAGTGCCCAGCCCCTTTTTCGGGATATCATCTGAAAGATCTTAAGATTTTGAACATTTTGTGTTCAACAATTATTCAGAAATTCTTTTTCGTTTTTGAGATATTAGAAAAAGAAATTTTTAGGGGCCAACCCTTCAACTCCCTAATGGGGACGTTTAGCAAAAAATGAAAGGTTGCATATTGTTTAGAACATTATTTTGAACAACTTCTGTTCAATATTGCTTATCAAAATATTTCTCCCTTTCGAGATATAAAGCATCAAAGATTTAGCATTCTGGCCCCTAATTATGTACTATATGATAAGGAAATCATAATATATAGTTGTATATGGTTGAGATGAACATCTTTGCTTCAGTAATGTATTACAAAATATTAACCGATAAAGAGTTATTGATTGAAGACTTTTGGCCCCTCTTGGCCCCTAATTCGAGTGCCCAGCCCCTTTTTCGGGATCTCATCTTAAAGATCTTAAGATTTTGAACATTTTGTGTTCAACAATTGTTCAGAAATTCTTTTTCGTTTTTGAGATATTAGAAAAAGAAATTTTTAGGGGCCAACCCTTCAACTCCCTAATGGGGACGTTTAGCAAAAAATGAAAGGTTGCATATTGTTTAGAACATTATTTTGAACAACTTTTGTTCAATATTGCTTATCAAAATATTTCTCCCTTTCGAGATATAAAGCATCAAAGATTTAGCATTCTGGCCCCTTGTGGCCCCTAATTATGTACCATACAACATGGAAATCATAATATATAGTTGTAGATGGTTGAGATGAACATCTTTGCTTCAGTAATGTATTACAAAATATTAACCGATAAAGAGTTATCGATTGAAGACTTTTGGCCCCTCTTGGCCCCTAATTCGAGTGCCCAGCCCCTTTTTCGGGATCTCATCTTAAAGATCTTAAGATTTTGAACATTTTGTGTTCAACAATTGTTCAGAAATTCTTTTTCGTTTTTGAGATATTAGAAAAAGAAATTTTTAGGGGCCAACCCTTCAACTCCTTAATGGGGACGTTTAGCAAAAAATGAAAGGTTGCGTATTGTTAAGAACATTATTTTGAACAACTTTTGTTCAATATTGCTTATCAAAATATTTCTCCCTTTCGAGATATAAAGCATCAAAGATTTAGCTTTCTGGCCCCTTGTGGCCCCTAATTATGTACCATACGACATGGAAATCATAATATATAGTTGTAGATTGTTGAGATGAACATCTTTGCTTCAGTTATGTATCACAAAATATTAACCGATAAAGAGTTATTGATTGAAGACTTTTGGCCCCTCTTGGCCCCTAATTCGAGTGCCCAGCCCCTTTTTCTGGATCTCATCTTAAAACTCTTTAGATTTTGAACATTTTGTGTTCAACAATTGTTCAGAAATTCTTTTTCGTTTTTGAGATATTAGAAAAAGAAATTTTTAGGGGCCAACCCTTCAACTCCTTAATGGGGACGTTTAGCAAAAAATGAAAGGTTGCATATTGTTTAGAACATTATTTTGAACAACTTTTGTTCAATATTGCTTATCAAAATATTTCTCCCTTTCGAGATATAAAGCATCAAAGATTTAGCATTCTGGCCCCTTGTGGCCCCTAATTATGTACCATACGACATGGAAATCATAATACATAGTTGTAGATGGTTGAGATGAACATCTTTGCTTCAGTAATGTATTACAAAATATTAACCGATAAAGAGTTATCGATTGAAGACTTTTGGCCCCTCTTGGCCCCTAATTCGAGTGCCCAGCCCCTTTTTCGGGATCTCATCTTAAAGATCTTAAGATTTTGAACACTTTGTGTTCAACAATTGTTCAGAAATTCTTTTTCTTTTTTGAGATATTAGAAAAAGAAATTTTTAGGGGCCAACCCTTCAACTCCTTAATGGGGACGTTTAGCAAAAAATGAAAGGTTGCATATTGTTTAGAACATTATTTTGAACAACTTTTGTTCAATATTGCTTATCAAAATATTTCTCCCTTTCGAGATATAAAGCATCAAAGATTTAGCATTCTGGCCCCTTGTGGCCCCTAATTATGTACCATACGACATGGAAATCATAATATATAGTTGTAGATGGTTGAGATGAA